ACTGGATAAGATTTGGATATGAATAAAGACTGCTGTAAGATAAATCTTAATATTATCACTGTAAAGTGTATCAATATGAATAGAATTTATCCTCACAGATTTAGACTGAAGAACAAATGCAAATAATAGGAGACAGTCCTCATTCAGAGTGATAGCCAGCAGGTTTTTTCATAAGATGCACAAAAGGCAAAAAGCAGACAAGTTTAGTTTCGTTAACTAATAAATATACTACAGGAAAGCTAACAGAAAATCAGTAAACTTGGATACAATGTCTTCGAGTTAATTCTATTTAAATTATTCAGATAAAAATAAATGGAATATGTTTGCAATTAAGATTCACAATTCCAAAAATGGAAAACTTTTATATACTATTAAACCTAGGCAGTCTATGAACTGGCTAGTCCAATAACCGCACATAGTTTTCTGAAATGCCTTAAAATTTAAAAAATAAATAAATATTAAAGCATCTAAAGTGTAAGACGAGGCACTGAGAAAAATCTCTTAGGAACTCCAGAACTAATAGAATAACTGCCTCAAAGGGAGAGTCCATAAGACAGCATCTGTAGTAAACATACTGGGTCTCCAGAATTTAAGTAATGTCAATTAGCAAGTTAGGATTCTAAATACCAGTTAGCAGCTAGGGCTGGACCAAACCTAAATGCTCTTCTGCTCTTGAGCTTCTGTGTTTAGTGTATTTGGGCCTTGCTTTGTGAATTTTGAAGTGCCTCTTGTCATAAGATGTTATGCTTTGAAGTCTGTTCCTGGTTTTGGAGGATAACTCTTTTTCGTAGAAATGAATTTGTTTCTCCACCTTTGGCATTGGGAACACCAGGTTCTCAGAAGGGACCAGCTCAGACTCGTTTCAGAACAAGTGCACCTGGACTGGTTGGAATATAATTAGTATCTTAAGCATTCCCAAGGATTACATTTCAAAGCTTTTGCATTACTCACAGCAATTAAGATGTACCGAGTAAGTTTTATAGTTTTAGCTCTAACTTTCCAATTAGTGCTTTAAAAACACACATTGTCTTTCCTTTCCATATGGCCAAATATATAAAGCACAACATTTTAGTCCAAACAAAAGCATTTATAAAAACAATCAGTACGCCAAACGGAAATTAAAGGAATTGGTTACTTTTTTCCAAGAGAAGAACATAGAGACACAGCGACTTGACAGTCACTTTTACTGAAGCCCCGTTCCACTGTGAAAACTGTACAGTCAACAGTATCTTAAATGAATCATAATACAGCTTACATCTTTAATGCCTGATCACAGTGCCAGAGGAGTTCAAAGAGCCCTTTCTAAAACCCACAGTAGAACACGATGGTTGCACAAACCACTGAAGTACCTACTTTGTAGCCAGAAGTAATTACGTTCATCTGCTAATCTCTTCTGCAGAAACTCAATCTAACAGGCAGAGATCACATCCATCAGATAAGAGCTCCATGCAACACACAGGGACTGCTGCTTTTCTTGAAAACACAGCTAAAGACCAAATAACATTTTGTGTGTGTGATGGTGCAATGTACATGTATTACACCCTTTGGAATAAAAAACGTCGGTGTTGGAAATACATACCAATGATAAGGAATAACTGTATTTACTGCCTGCAAATCTACACCTCAAGATCACACCACAGCTATGAGGTTCTTGACTTTCACAAGCTCAGCAACCTCAGGTTTAAGAATCCATTATTACGAGGCGAGATGCACAATTGCCTCTGTGGATCTTGCTTTTACCCCCTGCTCCTCTTCACATAATGATGGAATGAGCCAAGACCTTGAACCTTCACCCGAACTCTGTGATACATCTCACTCCAAAAGGCTATGAGGTCATCCGGTTCAGCTAGTTTAAGTCAGTGTAAAATATTTCAGATAGACAGCATTCAAGAGCTATAACCATGTGATACGGACAAACCTGGAAGCACGCGTAACAGAGCTCAAGTTTTGGAGTTTCACAGCCAAGTACTTGGAGTTACAGTTCCAAGTAAGCATGTGCAACCTGCAACTTTACATAAAGCAAATAACACTGTACAGTTCAACCAACGGCGAAAGGTCTTACTGAAATGATTACTGTCTACTTTCAAACCAAGAGCGGAACTAAAGCACATCCGGGGGAGGGAGCGGGGCCGGGGGGGAAGTAAAAAAATTGTAACACAGAACTATATACTCTTATCTAATATCCTCAAACAGCTAAACTGCTTGGTGCAGCTTACCAAAATGAGTCCAAGCCTGAGCTAGAAGGCTTACATTTTATTCAGGTGGTTACTGTTTGGGAAATTGTAAATCTTCTGTTCTCTGTGGCTTATAATGGAGCACACTAAGCAGCCTTAAAACACAGAAGTTGCTGTGAGCAAAGCCAAGAAGAAAATTGTCAGTCTTTGTATGACCACAAAAAAAATTAAAATATATACCAGTATCAGTTATACCAAAACCTTAAATTGTAAGTGTGGAAAGTAAATTTTGAACATAAAGATGAGATGGTTAGAATAATTTTACTGCTCCCTTTTTAATTTTTCAGTATGGTCATACACTTCACCTTCTGGTATCTGGGGTTATTTTGCTTCTAAGCCCAAAACAACGTGTGCACATTAGCAAGGTGAAAAGATTCCACTGTCTCCCAGAAGCTTCTATTCACAAGTGCATTTGGTCCTCATTAATTTAAACCTCCAATCACCTCTAGAAAAAACAATTTAGAATACCAGCTTTCTAAGTGCCCAAATGTAATAAAAAGTAATCATTATACTGCTGCAGAAAATACTTAAGATTTATTTTGATCTGTGTACAGTAGTGTTTTCTTGTAATCTTTTCATACATAAAGTTGTTTTACCCACTGCAGTTCATCTACCAGGTCACATCTGTGTAACAATACCAAAGCCATACTCCAGTAACATTTGCACATACCCAAAAACTGCAAAAGCCTTTCTCTGTCAATATTTTTGTACCGGATAAGCACTTACATCACTGTTACCATGTCTATTACCTACAGTTGTGGGAGTATAAGGTAAAAAAAAAAACTGGTATGTAAAATGAAACTTACACATCTTTCTTATGAAACACAATGGAAATAAGAATTTATTTTTTTCTTAAAGTGAATTAATTGCACCATTCTCCTGCCTAATGTAACAATACTGCAATTACTACAGGAGTGGATTTGACTATATATTAGTAAAAATGCCTAAGACTTTCTAAATGAATCATTTAAACACATTGATAGGAAAATCAAGTGAGAATATTTCAAGATATATTTCCTTTTTCATGATTGAGCATTCTCCCTTTCTACAAGGTAAGAGGTTTTAATTTTTAAGACTCAAAATCTAATTTTTCAGAAACAAAACTCTGGACACAGTAGCACTGCAGCGTTGTGACTGTTAAGAGCTGTAATGCATCAACCAATATTACTGCTGCCCCACATCCAACCTGTTCCAAAGTCCTACTGCTACACAAACAACCCTTTGAAAACCCTCAATTTTATATTGTAACAATGATAAGGAAAGAAGAGTCTCTATTTTAGTGCAAGTCCTTTACAGGTTGCAAGGATTAAAGGCATTTCACAGCCTTTGTTATGTCATCCTAACTGGGCTGACACTTATTACATACAAGGTTCAGGTACTCCCTACCCTTTAACAACATTGGATCACATCTAACACAAAAATTCAACAATATTTCTCAGCAAACAGAAAACAATGGCTACTTTCAAGCACTAACCTTAGATAACAATCTATGCTTCCAAATAGGAACATTAGACAAAACACCCGTGCTATCACCAAATAGAGGACGGTAAATTCAGAGTATCTACTTTGGGTTAGCCCCTTTTTGTTTAATTGGATAGTTTTAGGTCCTATATTAATTTATTATAGGTAACTTTGAAATGCCAAGGGAAGGGAGATGCTATTTCTAGAAGCGGGCAGGAGTTAAATTTATTTTTGTATGTTTCTGGATGAGTGCTTTGTGTTAACTTTGCAAAAATCAACATTCCGTGAAATAGAAGAGCAGTTCTCAAAAGAATACACCAGAACGATGATAGCTTTTCTACTTTGTAGCCAGGCGTACTACATTACTGGCTCCAGCTGCAAGTTAACTTAAAACACACCTCACAATTACAAGATTTAAACACATAAAGAGCATCTTCCTGGCTATGTTTCCATACAGGCCTCAGTGGGTATCTCACACAGGCCTCCTACGAGGGCATAGTAGCCCACGGGCACCGCTCTCACGTTTTCCCTCAAAAACTTAACTCTCTTCTGGAACATCAAGACACCGGACAGGCAGCACCTTTGCAGGTACCTGCGAGCATTAACAGCCGTTTTCCTAACTGCTTCACTGCAGAAGAGGAAACCCTAGGAAAGGTCTGTTGAACCACCGCGTTTACAGACCCCGCCCGCAGACCCCGGCCCCGTAAAGCCGCCAGCCGGCCCCAGGCCCGCGGCTCGGGCCTGCCTGGGCACGGGGAACACCACCACCGGGCACCACCCGGCAGCCCGACGCCTGACGGACACCCAGGCCCGGCTCAGCCCGGGCCCGAGCGGCCAGCGCCGCCCGGCTTCAGTTTCTAACGGCAGGTGGGGAGCGGCCGCGGCCCTCAGCCGCCCCCCCCAGGCCCCACCACGGAGCCGCCCTCCCCCGAGACGGGGAGAAGACACCCCCCTCGCCCCCAGCCCCACTCTGCCGCCCACAGGAAGGGCCGCGGGGGGCCGGCAGCCGGGGCCACCCCCACGGCAAGGGCCGACGGCCGCCAGCCCAACGGCCACCAGCGGGGCTCCCAGTGGCAGGCGCGGCCGGGGGGGGGGGGAGGGGTGGGGG